TGGGGGAAAACAATGATATGGTTCCTTTGTTTTGGGGGGGGGGGGGGGGGGGGGAACTCCCCATGAATTCACACAGTCTGCTCTCTGCTTGTTGTTAATGAAACAGCCACTACACTACACCCTGGCCTGGAGGCACTGCAATGCGCACCAAGCCTCTTTCGGAACCGCCAGCAGCACACTTTTTTTTTTTTTCTTTGGCTGGCGCCACCAGCCATTGTGGTCCGCTAGGTCCGAGCCGCGAATTTTTTGGAGTAGGCCACGAACAAATTTCTGCAAGGCTGGGGACGCCTACTCGTGGTTTAAACCACCAGTACTTGGCCCAGCCATGGGCCAGGGGGAAAAATAGAGTAGAAACGTTTCTAGTCGGATGAATTTTTTGGGCGCTCCTGTGGTGGCCCGTACGTTTCCTAAAATCATGGCTTGTTTACGGGCACAACTTTAGCAAGTACTGGTGGTTTTAAGCACCCGAAGTCAACAGTCATTTGTAGTGCAAGACCCAAGTTGTTTTGGATGGGTGGTTACTGTGAGGTACTGTGCTGACGAGCCCGTGGGATTCAGACGCGAAGCAAAGCGAAGCGTCTGCTCTTCAAGCTTTTGCCAAGGTTGAGAACTTCATGTGCTAAGAAATGGAATCCCTCTCCCATAATGACTATGCGAGTTTGATCAGGCACAAAGTGCAGGCCCATGGGTTGGAGCCATTGTGCTGTTTTTTTTGGGGGGGGAGAACAGCGCGGGGTCCTAGAGTGTATGCATACCTCTCTCCTAGAGTGTATGCATGCCTCTGTTAGTAATTTAGTACAACATGGGAAATTTGGGCAGTAAAGGGCCTTTGTATTTGACGGGCTGCCGCCCATTAAAAAAAAAAAGAGAAGTGTCTGCTTCTACCAGCGCCACTAGCACTCGAGGGAATGTTTGTTTAAACAAAAGGGAAAAAAAAAAAAAAAAAAAAAACTGTTTAACACTGATTTGCCAATGGAATAGAAGATTGATCGATGTACATCATCGTATAAGGGACGCTGAGCCCAGTTCTCAGCAAGTGCTGCTCCCCACGAAGAGATTGGAGCTTGTGTTCAATAAAATAATTTAAAAAAAAAGTTGCCAATGGAATAGGAATCGGACTGATGCTCCCTGGAATGGATAAGAAGCCAGGGCCATAAGGCCGTGTTTGTTTACCCAAAAAAAAAAAAAAAAAAAAAAAAAGAAGAAGAAGAAGATTGTTCAACACTGATTTTTCAGCCATCTTTCCAGAAACCTTTCTTATAAATGCCACAAAAAAAAAAAAAAAAATGATTTTTCATTTTCACCAAACTTTTGCTCCCCACCAATAGATTGTAGCTTGTGTTCAAAGCAAAAGAAAAGCAAAAAAGAAACCCTAAGATCCACATATGGGCAGTGAAAAGACCGGCAAGAAGGCTACTGAGGTTGCTTTCATGGTGTTATAGCTGTGGAGCAAAAAGGGATTGGTGATTCGCTGCCCATCACTTCGACAGTGCTTGGTTTAGGGTTAGGGATGATTACAGTAATTGTATCTATAATCGGATGATATCCTGGAGATCATCCAGAATGACAGGCTTGATGTTGCCCCCCGTCAAGCATGTCATTTTGGACAATCTTCTTCTGCTACAGCCCACAGTAGGCTTGTCTCCCTTTGTTGTTTTTTTATTGAAATTCCCTTTGGCTGTTGGATCAGAGGGAGTGGGACATTCGGCTTATTGGAAATCTGCTTTGCTCGAAATTGGGTTTAATTTTTGGAGGTATTTACACTTCTGGACGTTTTTTTTTTTAGTTTTAGGGTTAGGGATGGACCTGCCATTTATAATCGGATGATATCCTGGAGATTATCCAGAAGGACAGGCTTGATCTTGCCCCCCATCAAGCATGTTGTTTTGGACAATCTTCTTCTGCTGCAGCCCACAGTAGGCTTGCCTCCCTCTATTGTCGTTTGACTGAAATTCCTTTGGCTGTTGGATCAGAGAGAGTGGGACATCCGGCTTACTGGAAATCTGCTTTGCTCGAAATTGGGTTTAATTTTTTTGAGGTGACTTACACTTCTTGACGTTTTTTAGGTTAATTGGGAACTCATTCTGTGTTGAGTATTAGTCATGATCACGGTTTCTGTTTTGAACATAACTTAGGGTTAGGGTCCTTAGGGATGATTACCCTAATTGTATCAGGGAATAAGTTAGGAATTTGTGTGATTGTTTTTGATAATATAGAATTAATTGATACATTGGAATTGGATTAAATTCTACGTTAGTATTAACATAGACTAGGGTTTGCAAAATAGACTAGGGTTTGCAACTAGAGTTCTGCACGGGATGGGCCGTGGTTGGGGATGGGACTGGCCGGAAGTGCCTCTCCCAGCCTGGATTGGCTACGGAATTCATGTGAGGGACGCCGCACCTGTTTCCTGGTTTTATAAAAAGATGAAAATCCCCCATCAAAAAAAAAAAAAAAA